TTTAAAGTAAGGGAGTGGAAAACCATTTATCACCATAATGGACATCAAAAGAAAGCTGGGGTGGCAATCCTTATATCAGACAAATTAGATTTTAAACCAAAGACTGTAATAAGAGATGAGGAAGGACACTATATCACAATTAAAGGGTCTACCGAACAAGAAGATCTAACAATTGTAATTATCTATGCCCCTAACATGGGAGCAGCCAATTATATAAGCCAATTAATAATAAAATCAAAGAAACACAGTGATAATAATATAATAATAGCACAGGACTTTAACTCCCCACTCACTACAATGGACAGATCATCTAAGCAGATCAAAAAGGAAACAAGGGCTTTGAATGACACATTGGACCAGATGGACATCACAGATTTATTCAGAACATTCCATCCTAAAGTAACAGAATACACATTCTCCTCAAGTGCACATGGAACATTCTCCAAATAGATCACATATTGGGTCACAAATCAGGTCTCAACTGGTACCAAAAGATAGGGATCATTCCCGGCATATTTTCAGGCCACAATGTTTCAAAACTAGAAATGAATCACAAGAGGAAAGTCGGAAAGAACTCAAATACATGGAGGCTAAACAGCACCCTACTAAAGAATGAATGGGTCAACCAGGAAATTAAAGAATTTAAAAAATTCGTGGAAACAAATGAAATTGAAAACACAACTGTTCAAAATCTTTGGGATGCAGCAAAGGTGGTCCTAAGAGGGAAGCATATAGCAATACAAGCCTTTCTCAAGAAACAAGAAAGGTCTCAAATACACAATAATAGTAAAAGTTACTTAAAACTGATGAAAGACATCAACCCAGAGGCTCTACAAACCTCAGGCAAATAAATATAAAGAGAACCACAGTTTTGACACATTGAAGAAACATACAAAAAAAAAAAGTTGCTTTCAAAGGAGTAACAATAAACTTAACAATGTACTTCTCAATGGAAATGACAGAAGGCCTAAAACAATAGAATAACTCCCACCCTACAAATCCAATCCCCCCAAAATAAAAATGACAAAGACATTTTCAGACAAAATTACAATAATTCATCATCAACAGACCTTAAACAAAAGAAGCACTAAAAGGAGTTTTTCAGGCAGAAGAAAAATGATTTGATACAGAAACCAGAAATGCAGAAAGAAACAAAACACAAAAGAGAAGGTAAATGTTTTGGTAAATATGAATAAATATTGATTGTATAAAACAGTAATATTCAAAGGGCTCAAAATATACATAAACTTATGCTGTATGACAAAAATTAACAAAATAGGAGGTAGAAAATGGAGCTAAAATGTTTTAAGTTAGCATATTGAGAAGTGGTAAAAGTAATCCTTTTTATTAAACTGCAAAAGTAAAGGATACATATTATAATTTTGGTGGCCAGCACTAAAAGACTTTAAAATAATACATAACTAAAAATGTTATAAAAATAGATGAAATAGAATAATATAAAATATTTTACTAAGTCAAAAAAAAGGTGAGGTAAGAAAAAATGCTAAAACAAGCAAGCCAATAGAATATATGCAACAATATGGCTTCTATACACACAAATGTATCAGTAATCACATTAAATATAAATGGATTAATACTGCAGTTCAACACAGTTTATCAGACTGCATTTTTAAAACTTAGACATGTTTAGTGTATATCTTTCACTCTTGATTGTAGTTTGTCAAATTTTACATAAACAAAAAGAGTCTGTGTTAATCCTATGGGTAATTTTTAATTATTAATAATAGTAACAAAAGGGGCACCTGGGTGGCTCAGTCATTAAGTGTCTGCCTTCGGCTCAGGTCGTGATCCCAGGGTCCTGGGATCAAGCCCCACGTCGGGCTCCCTGCTCTGCAGGAACCTGCTTCTCCCTCTCCCACTCCCCCTGTTTGTGTTCCCTCACTGTGTCTCTCTCTGTCAAATAAATAAAATCTTAAAAAATAATAATAATAGTAACAAAAGTTATTAAGTTTTTGCTATGTGCCAGAAGCTAAAGTATTTTACATGTATTGATTCATTTAGTATTCACAATAATGCTTCGTAGTATGTACTATAATGATCTCTATCTTACTAAGGCATAAAGAGGTTAAATAACTTACACAAGGTCAGTGACAGAGCAAGAAAATATGCTCAAGTACTCTGACATCAGAAATCATGCTAATAATCACTATGCTATACTGTCTCATTATCTGCAAAGGAGAATAAAGATTATAATGAGGGTTTTATAAAGAATTCTTGCAAGTTATAATTCTAATAATTCTTCTAAATTTAAATGTCAGGTTACTTAGAATAATTAACTTCTAGTACATTTTAAGCAAAATACAACAAAAATATTCTAAAAACTACTAACGTTCATGATGCATTTCTTTTAATTTTATTTAAATTTTATTAGATTTTAAAATTTATTAGATTAATTTAAATTTAAATTTATTTTTTTATTTTTGTTTTTTTTTCTATTAAGTTACATTACTCACCATACAGTACATCATTAGTTTTTGATGTAGTGTTCCATGATTCATTGTTTGCTTATAACACCCAGTGCTCCATGCAGTATGTGCCCTCTTTAATACCCATCACCACGCTAACACATCCCCCCACCCCCCTCCCCTCTAAAACCCTTAATTTGTTTTTCAGAGTCCAT